CTAACCACTACACCACCTACGCGGCCTGTTGCAGGCAGGCTAAATTAAGAACTAGAGTTGTATTGTCTACATGATGATTGATAGTATGGTACGGTATGGTGCTATATTTCATTTGGAACGTACACAAACATAAGTAAGGCAATGTCCAAAAAAGCAAAAGACATTACTGCGAGACTAAAATAGATCTAAAATAGAAAAAAACAAACAAAGCAAAATCGGAAAGGATAAACTTGTCACAACTGGAGAGAATTTCAATGAATAGATCATCATCATCATGATTATTTAACATTTGAAAATAAAAAGAGCTGAGAGGAATTTCTGTCTACATTCCTTGATAATGCTATATTGACAATAAATAGGTAATGTTTTTCATCTTCAATCTTTTTAAAATCATGTATTTTACATAGTATTTCTTCTCTTCATTCCTATTTTTGTTGTATTATTCTAATTTATTGTATATCTGTATATCTTTTTGCCACGTGTTCTGGTACACATTCCTTATTCTTTCTCTGAAAAGAACATTTGAATTTTTAGTTTCAAGGTCAGTAGAACTAAACTGAGTAATTTCCGATAATTCATCAATGATACTAATCCAGGGATCATTCTGACACAAACTTTTTTCTACAAAAGCAGCATTAAGGATACTATTTGTTGACCGTGACAATGAATTCCGATAAATTTCATCACCAAACTACAAATGTCAACCATGAGAGGATACCGACCTAATTCACCACGACAAAGCACTGTTAGAAGACTTTTTATGAAGAACCGAGACTCTCTTACAGAATTTTATGTGGAAGTTTTCAGGTAACAACTTGTCAGAAAACAATTTTGAAGTAAATTTATCATTTTCTATAACTGATTTATTTTTGCCTGAACCATTAAATATATTAACGTGAGACAATTTCCCATATATCCACCCATACAGTAAAGTGCGTTTGACCACAGAGTCAAAAGACAGTGTTTAATATGGGACCGATGTGACATAAGTAACGTGAAATTCGAACGCATGCCACTATGCGACGACCGCCGCACTTCAAGTTTAGCAAAATTAATTCATGAATTACTCTGGTCTCATTGCGGTATTTATAGTCAACTTACCAATCATTTAAAGCGGGGGAGTCGTCACCTGCGAATGCGCCAAACGGCAATGATAGTGTGTCATTGTTTACAAACAAGCGTCTAACCATGAGACTTTGCGTTTTTAGCGTGTGTTGTTATTGTCGCTTGGGACTCAATTTCCGCGCGTGCGCAGGTGACAACCCCTCCGCTTTAACAGATAGCCCGTGAGCCAAAATGCTTTACGCCACAAATGAAGGTGACACATGCTATGAGTGATTTTATTATAATAATTTTGTGTACTAGTACATCATAAGCGTCGTAAGCAGCTTGATGTCATAGTGTTCTGTTTTCTGCAATTAAGAGAAAATATATACTTCAAGTTCATTCATTACTCATTTACGTTTAGGTTAGTTGAACATGTGATTGTTTGGCTAAAAATAACATAATTTTGTTGGATGGACTTACAAATAATTTTGCAATTTGAACTCTATTATTTGTCTTTCCATCAAGTTAGAATAAATTGTTTATGCATATTCGAGAATTGGGGTAAATATATCTTTTTTAACCAAACATGCACAAAATTAATTTTTTATTCATAAAAAAAAAAACGCCGCTGCCATCATCATATTCGTGATCTTTACAAAAAATATTATATATAACTTATTGGTAAATGCGTGGCGCGAAAACAAATTGAAAACAAAAACTCAAGTGATGTCCGACGATAAATGTATTGAGTTTCTTGTCACATCACTATACTTGCACTTTTGTGAAGAGTTTGTCAACAAATTATGTGAACAGTGCTCTGTGTGTCCGTATGTAGAATGAACATCGAGTGGATTTGGATACACACTGCGTATATATATATATGATCCGTGGTACATCGTGGCCATTTCACAATGTAATCTCATCCGTACAATTAATTAAATAAAAATTTAGTATATTAGTTTTATTTGTGACTCGCTGTTAACATAACTCTGTACTATGGTATTGGTGATATATGAAGTGGGTACCATAGGATGGTACTTGATGGCCAACCAACCTAATCAAATATGTATTTTGCATTGTACGAGTGTAAAATAAGTTATTAGGAAATTAGGATATTAGTACCAGCTGTTTTATACGCATGCGCATTGGCCGATCCTGTCAAATGTCGTCATCTGTTTTGGGGCGTGTCTGGTCGATGTGAAATTGCTTCAGCCGTTGGGTAACGGAATTAACTGATGTCTGTGTGAAAACCGCTGTAAAGTGGCGGTGAAATGAATTTGCGCGGTTTTTGCGCTGCCATTTTCCGAATGATTTGGAGCAGCAATGGAAGCCAACCATTTAATTGATAAAAATCTTGTCCAGAATATGATTTCAAATGGCCGAACTTATAAAAAAATCAGTCTCGTATTGAAAGTACGTT